CTTCTTCTTCTTCTTCTTCTTCTTCTTCTTTTTTTTTTTCCTTATTCTTATTATCTTTTGGTAATGGAGGATCAAACTCAGGACTTTGCACTGAGCTATATCCCCAACACTTTTCTTATTTTTTGACACAGGGTGTTATATGTTAAATTGCTAAACTCCCCAGCTGGGTTTGAATCTGTAATCTTCCTGTCTCTCAGAGTGCTGCAATTATAGGCTACCATCCAGGCTAGTGGATTTCTAAATACAATTATTCAATAAAAGGAACAAGGGTTTCTTGGCAAAATTGTTGATTCTAATACTATGCTAGGAAAGTGAGCCTGCAACATCTTAGTGTTTGAAGTTAGGGATGTAATAGTAATATTTTTTTAAACAGGATACTGGCATGTCAAATTTACACAGGAAATACCCTGAGAGAGCTATAAATAGCCAGACTGTAAGAATTTGGGCAATGAAATCAGTAACAATACCATGAGATTATAAAAACATGGAATAAAATAGATGCCATGAGTCCAGACAGGTAGAAATAAATGATTAAATAAAAAGTGCATACATTTGAAAAACTGCACTTTTTCAGAAGAACTCCAGTGAATACCTGTAGAATAATTTAAGGGAATAGAAAATTACCATTAGAAATCCATAATAATATTTGTCCCAGGCAAAATCTATTAGCAAGATTTAAAATTAATGGATGAAACTTTAAGGAGAAACAAGATGCTTTCATAGCCTTAAAGTATCTCCCCTAAAATGTGTTTGGTTACTGTGGTGACTTTAACATATATCCACAGATTGCAATTAACCTCCTTCTTCTGGTTTGTTGGCTAAATTTAGTGACTTTGCTCTAATGAGTAGAATGTGAAACTGGAAAAACAGTAAGTTTGTGTTTCTATAACCTAGCATCTGCCAGGCTAACCAAAGAATGGCTCTTGGTTAACATTATCAGTAAAAAAGACATCATAGTCATATACTTCCTGATATGTTCTGAGAAGACTGCACAGTCTCTGTTGATTTCTTTCCCCAAATCCATAACCCCAGTCTAATCGTGGGAAATTACCAGATGAACTCAAGCTGAGAGATGTCCTACGAACTACCTGGCCACACACAAGACAAGCAATGCAATATTTAAACTTGTGTGTCTGATTTATTTCCCTTAAGGTGGTCCTATTTACCTAAAATGCCTCAAGTGTATCCTTCTGTATGCCAGAGTAGTACTACAATATATATAAATGTCATATTTTTCATCCATTCAGCTGTTGGTAGGCATATGGACTGTTTCCAAACCCAAAGTATAAAGAGTATCCTAGAGGATAGATATTAGGAAGGAGAAGTGGAAGGAGGAATGAGATGGTAGAGGGGAGAGGAGGGAATGGAGAAGATATTTTAAAGAAAAACAAGAATTGAAGAAAAAACAGAAATGGGAAGGGGAAGAAGGTTTAGAGGGAGGGGAAGGAGAGGGAATAAAAAGAGAGTTAAGTGCCATGTACACGGACAAATTCCCCATGATGAATGTTAGCATTATGGACTGATGAAAGAAAATACCTAATCACAGAAGTGTCACACTCAGCAGAGACAGAGAAACACCAAGACATTGACCCAGACTGGAGGTGACCAGGAGATACGACATGGACATAGGACGTGATTTCATGAACTGGATCCCGGAACCGAAGAAGACAGAAAGGAAACGGGAGAAACTGGGCTGCCGGTTTTGGTAGAGGTTGACATTAGCAAAGCCGGGAGAAGTGAACGGGGAAGTTCTCTGGCCTATTTTTTGCAATTCTTTTGTCAGTCTAAAAGTAATCAAAGGGAAATACGCCAGGAATAAAGATAGGTTGGCAGGGAATTTACCGAATTGTGGAAGCCATATGAATTGCACCGTACTCCGAGGCCAAACAGCCACAAATGATATCCAAGGAAGGCAGGGAAGGGGACCCCCCCTGATGTGTCACAGCCCGCACAGCGTGGCTTGTAGGACACTGACCCTGGGCATGAGGTCTGTTGACAGGGTAGGCTCCGCCATGGCTGTGGGTGCGAGCTTACCAGCCGTAGGAGAAATCCCTGAGCTTTCTGCTTCTGGCATCCATAACCCTCTACTTCTGCTGGAATAGAGGATGTCCCCTGTGGTCAATGGAGGTTACGTGTAAGACACGCTGGGCTGTCAGTGTCCGGCGCATTCTCAGTTTCTCTAGAGGGAGGAGGATCCCCGTATGTGAAGGGCGTTCAGAACAGCCAAGAAGAATGGCAAACTGTCTTTTCTTGGCACAATTAGAACTTTCAATGCAATATAAAGAAAGTCTGAACAATTGATTCAGTGTGTTTAGCTGTATAGAACAGAAACCTAGATAGAAAAATAAGATAAAGACAACACTGTTTCTTAAAGCTTTGAAAGAAAATGTGTTTTGATTTGACTTGACTTCCCAGTATTCATTTTCTTATAGCTCATCATTCTTCTATATTATCTGTCCTGCATCTTTATTGAGAAAAAATAATCGCTGAGTTATTTACAAGGATAAAAAATGTATGCCTTCCCTTTTCATTAAAGACACTATTTGGGCACAAAATTTCTTTAAATTTTTTGTCTGTTTTATTAGTGTGTATTAGTTACACAAATCAATGGGTTTCATTTTGGCAGATTTGTAGCACACTTTGAGCATTTCTTAAGTTTTAAATATATGTTACTTATTAATTACTGAGTGCATCAATGATGTAGTTTATGAAGAAACCAAAGAGCTATTGATTTGTACTAAAAACCTTCAGACAAGGCAAGGACAGTGTTCTTTTCTCTTTCTTCTTCGGTGAGTAACGTGTGGGTCAGCTGAGTTGCCCAGAGAGATCAGCAAGTTCTCCTTTCCTGTTACTATGTCACTCTCAGTCTCATTTGCGATCTCTGTTCTGACTCCATTTGTTCCCTTTAAAAGCCTATAGGCCGCTGACTGGCTTTGAAATGGAGAGAATAAAGCTGGTAAACTCTGGCCAATGATTACATCCTTGCCTGCATGAGAGAGTCTGGCTCCGATCACGATGAAATATCCAGTGAAAGAGAAAAGGAAATGTGCTCTTTTTGGCATTAATCATTAGCTGTTGCCAGGGGATTTAGAAGAAAAAAATGGGCTCTTTCTGTGTAACATTCATTGTAAATGTCCTCACCCCACCAAAGGCTTGGCTCGTAATGAAGTTACCGACTCCTTGCAGCCACTGGAGGACAGCTGGCCTTGACCTTCCACCTATAACCCAGCTATATTTGAAGGATGATGCCAAGATGGAGTGGGCTTGGACAATCGAAAGCGAGGCTTTCTGTTTAACTTCTTGTTGGTTTCTCTCGTAAGCTAAATCACTGATGTGTTTAATTAGGAATTAATAAGTAACATGGATAAACTTTGTGTACAAAATCTCCACTTAGCTTCAGGAAAAGAAGGACAGAAACAACTACATTGACCCAGACCTCTTGTCCAGGGCCTGCTATATTGGGGGTGTTTGGGGCCAGCTAAGAGTGGGAATTTTTCTTTTCTTATATGCCAGAAAGAAGGACCAAGAGAAGATTTTCTGGCTGAGTGAGACACAGAAAACAAGAACTTGAAAAATGGGATTATTAAAATAAACACAGCTTTTTTTTTTTTTTTTTTTTTTTTTTTTTTGGTTTTTCTCTGGTACCGGGAACCGAACTCACGACCTTGTGCTTGCCAGGCAGGCGCTTTTGCCACTGAGCTAAATCCCCAGCCCCCACAGCTTTATTATTGCCCCAAGCTTTCCTGCATGATAAAGAAAAAGGAGACAAGGTCCCTACCCTTGAAACAAGAATTATAATAAGTCTTAATGTTCCAGGTAAGAGGGAAAATGTTATGATAAAAGTTCTTATAATAACAATAGCAGTAGCTAACATAGACTGAGCAAATGCCATGTAAATTTAAAACAATGTGCCAAACTTCATTTTAAATTAATTTTTAATCTTCAAAAAATGTCTATCTGGAAGTGCTTTTTCCTGATATAACAGATAAGGAAGGTGGACTCAGATATTGTAAGAAAATTGCAAAGTGACCCAGCCTGAGAATTCAGGTGGTTTACCAGGTCACAACCTGACTCTCAGTGTGGCCCAAGGTGCCTCTGGCTGTCCAGGGGAGGGTAAGGGAGACCCCCAGCTTCCAGCAGGTGTGTGGGAAGAGAAGTCCCAGACCAGGCGTTCTGCTCTGCCGGAGGTCAGGACCCTTGGGAAGATCAGCTGGACTTGTGCATCCAAGGACGTTCAGCACACATCCTTTCCCCAAATTTACATCATTAAACAGAAATTACCATGCCTTATGTAAAGGTAAGTTTTCACCAGTGTTTGGATTCCAGCACTGTTTTAATCCAAATGAGTAACTGTAGCTGCTATCAGCAGCTTTTTTCGTTTACTTCTTTGGGACATTTTATCTATCTATCTATCTATCTATTTATTTATTTATTTACCTATAAAAATCTCAGCCCAGTACAAGGAATGCTTCTTGCTTTCTCTTGTCCCTGTCTGGTGCAGGTTATCAAAGTGACACTGCCACATCTAGTCATCAGGAGATCTAGTTAACTCCTGTCTTCCACACAGAACTGCCCCATGCCATCTAGCTGGTGGGTCAAGATGTAGAACAGAGGATGTATCTTAGTTACTTTTCTCTCCTTGCTGGGACAAAATAGCCAACTCCAAAATTAAGGAAGAAAAAGTTTATTTAGTTCATAGTGTGTGGAGGTTTCAGGCCATAATCAGCTGGCTCCAAGGCAGAGTGGCACAGGGCACAGGGGCAGCAGTTTAAGGCGGTAGAAGACACCAAAAGCAGCAAGTGCATAAGGGGGAGAGGAAGCCTCTTTTTCTCTCTTACACTGTAAGCAGGCTGCCCCCACTCAGGGCAGGTGTAGCACCCATATAAACTCCATGCCCTCCTCTTGCACAGGATGAGGATGTTTACAAAGTGAAAACTCTGGCTCCCTGCTGCGTCCCTTAGTTAGACTTCTAAACTTCTCCAGCTGACACAAGGTATCAACCATTACAGGATGCAAGAGAGCAGAGGGCAGACTAGACACAGCCTCTTCTCACACAGAGCTGGTCAGAATATCCGGAGCCTGGGAAATGTAGCTTAGCATTGGTTCCAAGTAGAAGAGGCAAACTGTGTATTTGTGGACACCAGCTTTCTCTCAAACACAAACTCTAAGAAATTTCATCATCGCACACACCTCAGACTAAATTTTAACTTAGGGGATGAAAAGGAGAAAGTCTCAAGTTTTTGGTCCTTGGAGCCAAAGGGAGAAAGTCACATACAACATAGCTTGAGAAACTGCACTGCTGTCCTTCAGGCAGTCCTGCAGTCAACTTGTAGTTCTAGCTCCTGGCTTTTTAAATGGCCACCCTCTTCCAACCTGGTGTTGGTCTTTTAGATTCTGCTGGTAAAATCATCCCACCTTTCCTTCCCCCACCCTGGAACCACCCCCTTTTGTACTGGGAAATGTATTTCTCTGTCACCTTGGTGGTATCTTAGCAAACTGAGTTGTTAACTATTCGTCTATTTCTTGATTTGATTTTATTAAAAAGTAAATCATTACTAATTTCTTAAAAGGTATGTTTGTCACTAACTTTACAAAATCCTGAAACAAGAAAACAAAAGATTCTTATGTCACAATTCTCAGTGTTGGTGTTGTGTAATAGGGAAGGCTATCTCTACACATCAAATAAAATACTCTAAGGCAAGTATGAGCATGTTATGAGAATTAAATAGCTCATAAAATGAATGATTTAGTCTTTCAAAGCATTTGATATTTTTTACTGTGTCTGCTTTGGAAGAAACCAACCTTGCCCTGGGTGCTAGAGCTGATCAGCTAGAGCTGATCACTGCTCATCGGTCAGTCAGGAGGAAAGCTTAGGAGCTCACACTCTGGAGACAGGTTGCTTGGGTTTTGTAAGCTGTGTGTCCTTGGGTAAGTCACCCAATCTTTTTGTATCTGGCTCTGTTTAACTATAAAACAGAAATAGTTTTAGCATACCATTTTGGGCTGCTGGTAGGATTAAGTGAAATTAATCTTAATGACAGCCGCATGAGATGGCTGCTATTATTTATACATGTAAAGCACTTAGAGTAGGGCTTGGCACATATTAAGTAATTGATGTATATTAACCACAGTCATCAGTGTCTTAGTCATTTTTGCACTGTTAAAACACAATCCTGACCTCCAAAACTTAAGGGAGGAGGTTGATGTTGGGTTACAGTTTCAGTCCATAACCAAGAGGCTCCAAGGGAAAAATAGGATGGCAGAAGGTCTTGACAGAAGAAAATGTACTAAACCCACGGTAGCCAGGAAGCAGTGTACAAAAGGAGGAGCCAGGCAGGGAGACGACCCCTTCAAGACAATGCCCCCATTGTATTCGTTTCTACCTGCTAACAACATGCTAATCCGCTGATGACAGGTGAGAGTTCACCACAGGTACTGTGAAGTTAGCTTCACTTCTATCTGTGTCTCTATTTTATGGGTATTGCTTGGATGGAAAACATGTTTCTTGCCTAAGGCTATAAATACAAGTTTGAGAGATTTTTGAGAACGTGTGAACAGTACCTCATTGGACCTTTATCTACCCAGGAGTCAGAATATTTTTTGTGTTTGTTATGCAGTGTATAAAAAAAAACCCTCTACTACATGTCCAGAAATAGCATATACAGAATTTTAAAATCAATCAATAGCAAGTTTTCTTGGTGGTTTTGTGAAAAGGATAGAATTTTTAAATTTTTAAATTTTTATTTTTGAAAGCAATACAATTTTTTGGTACATTTTACATATATACAATAATAACATTCATCATAAGGCATTTGTACCTGTACATAATATATCTTGCTACTTCTTTTTTCCCCATCCCCTATTTTTTGTTGACAAAAAATGAAAATTAGAACTATTAACAAATTACACTTTTCTATGCTATGTCAGGCTGTCACCCTTTTGTAAAATCAAAAGTCATTTGTAATTGAGATAAGCCGCATGGAGGACTACACATTTGAAACACGCTGCATTAAACCTGCCTCCTCCAGTGAAATCCTGGTAAGTCCTCTGTTATTTTCCATTGTACCTGCTGACAAAGACTAAAGGGAAGAGGGCTGTCACCAATGGTGTGAAAAGCTCGATGAATAATTGCCTTCTCCTCAAGAGAGTCCTTTGCCCTAAAAGCCTTTAACTCCAGATCATCTGTCTTTAGAGCATCGTGGGCACATAGGCCTCCTGTCTCGTCTTCCAAATTAAGGGCACTCAGCAGAGCTGCCACATTGGGCACTAATGAATTCTCAGAGACTAATCTGAGCGGTAATGAGGACTGGAATCTGTCACTCACTCTCCCTGGAGGTAACAGTTCACACACCCTTACATCACCCCATTAAAATAACTTATTAGCTGCGTAGTTTGTCTGCTGCTATTCGTTAAGAAGGTGTGATCAAAGAGACATGCTTTTGGACAAGCGACACAATTTAATTCGTATTGTTCTCTGTTTTTATGGCTGAATGTCTACAGGACATGCTGCAGGTAAATCAAAGCATTTTACACAGGATGTAAGTATCTTACGGGAAGTATCAAAAAATCATGACTTTTTACCAATCAAATGAAAAACAAAGGTAGCTGAGAATCTGCATCCAGTTCAGAATTGAGGGGAATCTTGCACACTCCGTTCCCTGTACTTCTCGCTCTTGTTTTCATAAAAGGCTTTCAGTAGAGGTGTAATGCATTATGCCATGAAACCATTGTTAAATTATTCTGAAAGCTAAACTGGGAGGGTAAATTTAGATAGAATAACCAGGAGTGGAGTGAAATTTTTATCAGAAATCTAGCAGATTATGTAAACACTTTGCTGTTTAATTTTTGTCAGTGTATCTCAGTGATACTGTGGGTTTTGATCTCATACAGAGATTACTGAAGTTCTGGGTCTCCCTTTTGAGAAAGGTATAATCTTGGGGGATATCATTTAGCCTTTCATGTTCACATGCAGAATGAGAATAAAATGATTCTCCCTCATACTTGTGTCCTTGGGAGGATTACATGTAACTTTGCCTGTCCCTTGTAAATTTTCAAAAATATCTATTGCTATCCCAGTCACCATGGTTGTTCTGTTTCCTCCAACAAATTCAGACACTTTTTTATATTTTTAAATTGAAAACATTTTTGTTTGCTTTTGATGGATATTTCAAATATAACACCTACAGAGTGCAGTTTACAAGTATTGGAAAGCAACTTGGACTCCTTATTAAACCAAGTGGTCACTTTTGCAGCCCTGCAGCCCTCTACTTACCCATCCTTCACTGAAGAGGGCCATATCTTGCATAGTTCTACTAGCTTTTATCTTTGTGATTTTAACTAAGTACCTTTAACTTTAAAGCTTCATGTTCTTCATCCTTGGAAAAGAGACAAAATACCTCTTTTTCATGGCACTGTGCAGATTAAATCAAACGAATGGTGTGAGCCATCTATCAGCACACACAAAGGCTCAAAAACCTGCAATGGTTGTGATTGCTCGTGACTCCACTGGTCCACCGTCTCTCTGCAAGAGGCAGCCCTGTGTCATTTCCTGACAGTTGTGTAAATGCAGGCTGTACCTCTTCACCCTTTTCTGTTCTCTCTTGTGTCCTCAAAAGCCTGCAGTCCCCAGGAAACTGCCTGGAGGTGGACTGGTTTGAGAACAGAACTTTTCAAACTAGACCATGTCATACTTCTATAGACTGTCTGAGTTTGGCCTCATTCTTTCAGCAAGCTATGCAAAGCTCCTATGTTAGTGTCCTAGTTGTTATGTTTTTCGATCATTAATTGACTAAGTATCATTAACACAAATTTGAAATAACATTAAGATTCATGTTATTAGTGAGGAGCACAAATCACTCATAGACTTCCCAAACTGCAGTGGCACCTCAGTTCACGACCTTCATTTTCGCTATGATTTTGGTCACAGAATTCCTTCCACTGCAACCAGAATTGTGGAAAGAATTAAGTTTATGAATGTAGGTACAACTGTATAGGGTAAAAAGAATAGTTTAAAAGTAGCAGTTATATGGGCACAGTTATTCCATAACAGGTAGAAGAAGAGATTTCAGTTAATTTTGTATTTTTCAGAGTTCATAAATTCATAAGCACCCAACAAAATCTCACCCGAATGCTGTTTGAACAAATTGGACTCTTTCTTACATTTGGACCTTGGCATGAACATGTTCTGAAGGTTTTATTCATGAGAAACATACAATTGAGGCATTAACTTTCCACCATTTTGCATGAAATGTGTCTTTCCAGATTTATGTTCCCTACAAATCTTATCACAGTTTTCTAAAATGCAGTATAGTTTCTTTTAAAAAATTATTTTAGATATTTTGAAAGTACACATAAAGCAAAAGCTCTGGTATTTTTCTTGTGAGGTCTGCCACATCCTCCAGAGATAGTTCACCTCTTTGAAGAGAAGAAAAAATGAAAGTAGTAAATTAGCCCTTATTTGTATAGTGTCTTATAAGGCCCATCATATATTAAATGATGCTTTGCATATATTGAATCATTTAATCCTCACCTCAGTCCTATGAACCGATACTATCGTTATTTCCATCTTACATTGCAGCAAAGTGAGCTGCACAAAAATAATTTTCTGAAAGTCACACAGACAGACCTGAAAATCAAACATGATGATTCTTACCCTAAAATATCACCTGTCTAAATCAATTGTTTAGCCAAAGTCTTTTGAATTTGTTGACATTGAACTTGTGACATATCCATTGGTGTTGTGGACTGCTGTCTTGATGAGTGCTACTGGTATGAGTCCTAGCTAAAGAAAAAAAAAATGCTTTCATTTGGCCTGAAACTCTCAACTTAAGAGAAATACTTTAGGTTTTTTTGGCCTGTGATAATTTGTATGACTGTTTTAGGTAAAGCAACTGAGAGAAGATATTTATCAAATCACATTACAAATTCCTGATTCAAAATTGAGTGGATCGCTGGCTTTTGAAGGTGGCATGGAGACTGAATCAGGCTCAGAGCTCAGAAGCAAACAAATTCTATACCTCTTTTAGAAATTGGTCATAGAGAGAAAACTGTAAAAGTTGACCCCCCACTGTTAAGCTGCTGTGTGGTTCTGAGAGGGGACCCTAATTCACGGCAGGTTCTGATTTGACTGGGTCATTTATGATAATTCCACTTCCCTTTCCAGTACTGATTGAAAAAGCAGTACTTCGGCCAATCAGAAAACAACCTTCCCCCAGCTGTCTTTTGCTCAGGAATGTGTGACCTAACTTGTCCCAGTCCTGATCAATGAACACACTTGTCCCAAGCTGAAGGGAGTTATCTTCTCTCCCACAAGGGTGAAAGTTTTGGGAGTGAAGTCACCCCCGGGGACAGCAGAGGAGAAAGGGACAGGCCCGGAGCATGGAGGTCTTCAGCTGCTGGACCTGTCAGTACCAAGCCCACACTACCTGTAACTTCGTTTTTGTAGGACAAACACATTGTGTCGTAGTTTAAGTTTGTTTGAAGCTGACATTCTGTTAATTTAACCCAAATGCATCTTAAGAACTCATCTTTATTCTTGAGATCCTGCCACAGAATCCCAGATTTAAAGGAACAATTAAGATCTGTGAAGTTGGAATCACTGATAATTTGGTTCCAACACATGAAGTGGCCCAATTCACCACCACACTAGGGAACACACAATGTAACCATGTCAGTCACAAGGGAAGCACTTTCATATATATTATCTGTATGTACCTTTATTCTATAGCTTGAATTATTATCTATAGTCTACTTTGTCTATACTCTTTAAATGAAAGCACAAAAGATCAGAGTGGGTTAATGCTCCTGAACTCTTTGATTCAGATGACTCAGGTTAGGAAGGATGGAGCGCATAGGTTCTAGATCATTTTAGATGGAAGGAATTTCTATTTGCAGAATGGAACATTACATGCCACTTTAAATATCATACACTATCACTCCTCCCTCACTGCATTTTCTTATGGCAAATCACCATGTGCGTGACATTTGGTAATTCTGAGGTTTATATTTCTCAAGTTTCTTTCAGTTATAATGTGTGTGTATGTGCATTTCTGCAATACATATGAAATATATTTAATTTAGCCTTTAATTTCTTTATTGTCTCATAATTCTCCTTTTCTTGGATTTGCTAACTTAGAACATTGTAATGGGATCCTAAATGGAAAACATTTGTTACTCATTCTGGGGCTGCTAAGTGAATAAAATTTGGATAACATAGCAAAGAAAGATGATTATCACATGAGAGTGAAGCAGTCCAATGCAACATAATGTCTATCGCAGATGACAAAGTCTCTGTGGAGTCACATTTGTTGCTTTCAAAAGTCTTAAATTCTTCAGAGAGTGCTACTGCAAATACTTTTAATTCTCATGAAACAACTGGTCTGGGAAATTTAAAGGAGCAAGTAACCAACCAGAAATCATTTTCCGACTCAACCTTCTAGTGCTTTCTCCTGAGTGTATTTCTTTTGAAACCAAGATAACTTGCATTTGTTGTAGTTTCAGACATTAACATGAGATTATTCTTATCATGATCAAAAGCTGGAGGAGTTCAAACCCATGGGGCCATGTGGATTGTTCAGAGATTTTGCAGAACCTAGGGCTGAATCATAAGGCTGAGCAAAAGCAGACACCTTGGAAAGAAGAAAAGGTTACGTTAGACTGGTCAGCATGATTACCCAGCTTAACTTCAAAGAGCTCGGAACCAAGACAGAAGCAAATACGGCTTCCCAAAGCCTGTTCTGAGTACTGGTAATTACAGTGTGTATGGATAGAAAGGATTCCATGGACATGGTATGCAGAATTTATTTAGCTGAAGATCCACTGTGTGTGTGTGTGTGTGTGTGTGTGTGTGTGTGTACTTGTGATCATAATGGGATCAAAAACACACCTTGGAAAATATTGGGCTATGACATGGAAAAGTTCCTTTTGAAATAGTTATCTATATGAAAATAAAGAAGATACAGTGGAGAACATTTATTTCCTCTTACCCATTTTTGTGTGGAAGTATTGCTTTAAATCATTGTTTAAGCTGAAATAATAATAACAGTTTGGATAGTGTATATCATAATTTGTTTTCAAAATAGTTACATCTTCATTTCTTCTTTTTATTTCTAAGGATACCCTGAGATGAAAATTAGAAAACTGTGGACCACAGGCCCAGTTTGGCCAACAACCTATTTGGTATAGTACGAAAACTAGAAATATTTTAAAGGTTTATTAAGAAAAAGTAATATCTGTCAGAGATGATACATGTCATGCAAAGCCTAAAACATTTAGTATCTGTTTTTTTACAGAAAAATTTTGCCAGCCCCTGGACTTGGTTATACGATTATGCAGTACTAACACGTGACACCTATATCTCAGTGCTTTTGCCCAATGAAGTACATTATTTGTCAGTGCCACATGCCTAAAACAGCTTGGCAGGAGTCTCTGTGTCTCAGGGCCACTCAGAAATCAGGCCTGACAGAATCTCCAGGTCAGTGCGTGCTTAACAGTCCCCACAGCAACAGGGACACGATGTGCAGAATCCTGGCTCAGAACTTGCCCCTGGGCTCCGAGTGCAGCGCCTCTGCTCACATTCCAGGGGCCAAGCTGGTTGCGCAGCTCCTGATGGCTGCAGAGGAAATGCACTCCAACTTCATGCCTGGAAGAGGTGCATTCAGAAATGAGTGGCGAACAAAGATATGAATGCAGGGTGCACCCGCGCAGGAAAAAGTCATGTGTGTGCACAGGAGGCTTGTTCCAGAAGAAAGAGGCTGGAACCACACCCATGAAACCTGATTCACTGATCCCTCTAGATCTATGTATTTATAGTGCTATCGCTATGACATAAACTGATGTGTAGACACATTTCTATTATGTGGGAGCTGAATTTTTGTTCTATGTACCTGTTTATTATATACTGTATACGAAAGCATACATATATACATGTGAAATAGATTTTTGGGTAGCAATGTATCTATCAAGAGATATCTACTATATAATTACTAGATTATTATCTGAGATATACTCATTTTTATGTAATGGAGGGTGGTCTGATAAACAACTTGATGCAGATTGATAAATGTGGGCTTCAGTGCTAAATATTTAATAGATATATCTATAGGATAGGAATTAAAACATATTACAAGTGAAATCAGGTCTCATAGTGCATGGATTTCAGATGTCATGTTTGTATGTGTGTATGTGCATACAATCTATATTAGTGGTATTACTAAATATATTTATACTTCCTTCATATACAAATAGAAACATACACAGAGAGGAAGAGAAGTATGTATGTGTGTGCATAAGACCCTGTCACGCATGAGTTACAAGAAGAATATGAAAATAAATTTAAATATCATCTTTAGAGGTAGTATATTCTAGTCTCAAAGAGACTAACACTTCTTGGTATAAGATAACATGTGTTACCTTACATCATTGTATTTACCTCAAATCTGTCTGAATTTTAAATGATGCAATTTTCACCTCAAAGCCTGTCATTTTAAGGAGCTATTTTCTGAAAGAATAGAAGGAAGGGATTTAGGAAGAGAAAAGGATGGAGGGAAGGAAAGAAAGGAAGAAACTTTATTTTAATGAGAATAGTTAACTTTTAATCAAACATTTTGAAGGTGGGCCTTGTGTGCAAAATGTTTGCTTAAACTAAAGGCACCACAATTTTTCCAGAGAACTAAAAACATTTGGAAAATCATAAAAGGATAAACATTAGCATTAGAAGGAAGCATACAGTTGATTCTAGTCTGTCGTCCTTGTTCTACAGTTGAAGATGGTGAGGTTAGTTATGCAGATTTCTGCTTAATCTTACACGTGTACTTCCTGTTCACTAATCCCCCTCTACCTTTCTAAGTAAATGCCGTCTATAACTTGGAGGTTGTGCTGGAGAGGCATTTGTATGATTTCAGGTTGGAATACTCACTCTGACAAAGAAGAGTGGGCCCTCTCCTGAAAAAGGGAAACCTGCTTGGTTTCAAGGTCCCTGTGAATCGACAGCATCCTCACAACAGGTCTACATGCACAAGGTCAAAATCGATCACCCACCTCTGAACGTGTGCTGGCCACAGCTTTCTTGGCTCAGCAGTGAAGCTCGAAAATTGTGGGTGATAAATAATTAAAGGGACCATTTTATGAGTTTCACGTCTGCATCTTTTCTTGGATCAGAGGTGATTGATTTTTTAGCCTTGTACTTGGCTATTCTATGGGCGTACGCTTTGTCATGGGAGAGCTATCATTACTAACATAGCAAGATTCCGAAATGATCAATTCCTGGTAGTGCTGGTGGTGGTGGGAGCAGGGATCACTAAAAGGGAGAATTATTTACAGAAGAATGATTCAAAATATTTAAAGGGGAGAGATCTTGTAAAACATTCACCCTTGGAAGAGCCTGAGTCTCCTTCCATCTGTGTTTGGGGAATGGTTAGGAGCAGTGTGGGAAGTCAAATAAAAATGGAGAGCAGGGATTTTCATTGCTTTTAACGACAAGGAGAGTATGGGCAGGGCGGGCGGGGAAGAGCCAGAGCACCTGTGCTGGAAAAGGAATGAGAGAGCCTCACACCAGTGTTCAGAGGACTGCTGCGCATGCAAGATTGAAACTAAACCAAAGAAGTCATTTTCATAAAACCTGTCTGCCTGCCCATAGAGACAAGACAGAGACAGCGTCAAGTTGTGGCTGGATTACTAAATCCATCTGATGGGGCTTGACCCTGAGTGCCCCGGGTCCCTCTTCTGTGGGCATCTCTAGCTTTTCCATCTTTTCTTTGAAGTCTCCATAGTCTCATTGAATTTCTTCTGGAGTTAATCTGCACCACTGGGAAACAGGACTAACTGGCTTTAAAACCTCTGATTTCCATCTTGAGAAAGAAAATATACATGCAAAGATAATCATAGCTTCTAGGTCAGTTTCAAGACCCTGGGATTTCAGCAGATTAGAAAGAAAAAGGAGGAAAGTATTTTACCGGACAGCATGCAATGCGATAAAAGAACCACAGGAAAGATGGGAACCTTTTTTCAGTAAGGGGTACAAACATCCAGTAAAGAAGGGTGCGCTTTGGATCAAGATTATGTCCATGAAGTAAGAGTGGGAAGAATCATTTCATATGAGTTTATTGGCTTGTGAATATGACAAACATCTTCAAGTATTTAATACTTAAAATATTTAAAAGAAGCCAGTTACATTTTCAGTACTTGGCTATCTTCAAAGAGAGACAAATTTGACTGTCTTAGCTCTTCATCAATGAAACACAGACTGTCAGATTCTTTTTAAAGTTATGAAAATGGTAAAATAAATTTAGAAAGTCTTATCCCCGCATATTTAAGCCTTTTTATGTGTGCATATACATATACGTATGTAAAAGCATAGCTTATATACTTGAATGAAAATTAAACTTGTTTCAAAGACAGTATCCCAGTGTAGAGTGTATCATTCAACTTAAGGAAATAAAATCTTTTAGCTTTGCATCTTGCAAGCATTATTTTGCTTCTATGTCGTTGGATCACGTTTAATCACTAATGGATTAATATTCTATACACAGTGTGTCTAAAAATAAATAGGTCTATAAGCTTCATAATCCTCAAAGGTGCCAACCAAGACAAATATTTCAGTTCTGTAAAAATTAATTTCTAATTCTGAAGCATTAGTTAAGCCTCCCATCAAGGATTTCTGTGATGTTTGTTCATTTATCTAAGACACTCTTTTCAGACTTATGAATATTTATGAGCCACAGAGTTCAGTTCAGCATTATAAGAAGTAAGAGGTAGTGTCTTCCAGATGCAAAGGGTGTCTTTAATTCTCCTGCTTCTCTACATATCGCTGGTTTCTTGTCATGCTTGAATGAGCCATTCAACATACAGCTGCCATCTAATCAAAGTACCTGAAGTGCAAAATGAGACGAAGTTTAATGAAGCATAAATTGTCTGTTCAGTTGGAGATTCAGACCCTTTACTGTAGCACAATTAAATAAAACATAGTAGAAGCTCTATTCATTAATCCTCACTACTTTCTGTTTTGCAGACAAGAAACCTATGAGGTCAATTAATGTCACTGTGAAGTGTGATACATGCAGAGTAAATGTATTCACATACATCAGACATTATGGGTGCGTTTATGCTCAAGAATATACCAAGCCTAAAACATAGTTCAGTGCTGGTAGCATGTACTAACAACAATAAAAATGGCATCGCTATCTATTAGGAACAAAAGCCAGTATCAGCTACCAACATGCTGACATAGTTTTTAATGAAAATGTTTTCATGCTGATCTCCAGGCCAAGACTATGGAAGGGCCAGGCATTGGAAATTTGGAGGTCAGCAACCATAGTGACCTGTCGGAGGAGAAACTGCTCAGCTATTCTGGGACGATGAACTTTCGATAAGGAGTCAGGGTGAGTTTCTCAATCTTGTGGGTGTGTCCATGGGTGATTCTGGGCAAGAAAGCCAGGGGCTTAGTCATGGAGAGGAGAGGAAGCAGCAGGCAGTGAGAGGATCAGCAAGGGCTAAGCATTTGTAATTTCCCCATTTGTAATCAATTCTCAGGAATCAAGAAGTTCACAAAATGGACCAGAGACCAACCACGTCCAGGGACAGAAAGGAATTTATTAGCAAATCAGTCAAGTTCAGAAAATGGGATAAACGACAACAAGATCCAAAAGCTCATGAAGGGCATACTCTGCATTCATGCATTTAGTATTTTAGAAAATATTTCTTGAGTGTCAAAGGATGAAGGTGTGGGTCACAAGGTATATAGTAGTGAACACACCTGCCTTCAATATAGCAGGGGACATTCTGCGTCTGGGGTTTATGACCTAGTGGTAAATGGTTTATGGTTAATGCCACTTGTGGTTAATGTGCCACCTGCCACTTTTCCTTGTACTCGTCAGGGTTCAGCTCAGCATCATGCACTGCCTTGCCATGAGGTGTGACATCTCTTTAGACTTCTTGAATCTGGAGCAGTTCTTGTGTCCTCCTTTCATTTCCTTGAGCTCCACTCTGAAAAATATAGACCTGTTTTAATTGTTGTCTCATGCTTGCTGAATTTAGACTTAGATAATGGCTTTGGGAGAGAAATACTATAGGAGTGGCATGTCCTTCGAGGGCATCGCAGCAGGAGACACATCGGGTTTTGCGGTGATTCAAATATAAACCATAGGAGTTTTTTTGCCTTATTACTCTGCATTTTCCCCATAACCCTGGAGTCCCCAACCCCTGAGTCACCAGTCCACGGACTGCTAGGAAACAGGCCACACAGCAGGTGAGGTGTAGGTAAGTAAAGGAAGTTTCTTCTGTATTTACAGCTGCTTCATATTGCAACCTGAGCTCCACATCCTGTCAGATCAGCAGCAGCATTAGATGCTCATAGGTGCATGGACACTGCTGGGAGCTGTGCATGTGAAGGATCTCAATTGCAAAGTCTTTGTGAGCATCTAGTGCCTGATGATGTGGTGGAGCTGAGGCAGTGACGCTAGTGCTGGGCAGCAGCTGAGATACAGAGAGGTTTGACTGCACAGAGTCAAAAGAAACTGCAGGAGAAATCAGTTACTTGCAGACTCAGATTGAAGCCCCATCAGGCAGTGTCAAGTGATAATCTGCATGTTTGGCCAGGCCTTATAGTGGCAAGTGAATTGAGGAGCTTCGATTGTGCAGCTGTATCTGCTGGCTGCTTTTACGTCAGGACCTGACACTCATTTTGGTCCATGTGTGGCTCACTTGTACAACTGATTCTGCATTATAATGAACTGTATAATTATTTCATTATATATTGCAATGTAATAATAATAGAAGTAAAGTGCACAATAAGTGTCATCCACTTTAATAATTTCAAAACCATACCTGTTTGCTGTCCATGGAAAAACAGTCTTCCACAAAACCAGTCTCTGGTGCCACAAATGTTGGAGCTCACTGCCCTAATTTCATCAATCTCCAGACTTTAGGTATCTAGCTTATTACTATTTACCTAATTTGAGCATTTCCTCTAAACTCCAGACCTACAAATCCAATTGCGTGCTTGACAATTCCACTTAGATCCTGCAAATACCTTCATTCTTCAGACCTCTGTCTCCAAACTTCTGAGCATTCATCCTTACACAGTGCCTCGCATCTCAGCTAAGACATCACCAGGCAATTAATCATGCAAGCTACAATTCCAAAAGCAATCTTTAATCTTTTCTTTTCTTTTTGTCTTTTTTGAGACAGGGTCTCACTGTGCAGTTCAGGCTGACCTCAAGCTCACTTTGTAGCTCAAACTCGCAATGATCCTCCTGCCTCAGCCTCCCAAATGCTGGAATTACAGGCGTGCACCACCACACCTGCCAGTCTTCAGTACTTTCTACTTTCTCACACCCATGAAATCAGATTTATCAAGTGTTGCCAGTTTTACCCCCTACATGTTTCGTATGATCACGGATTTTCCCCATTCTTTGCAGACAATATTTTACCTCCCACCAACCCTACTGAGAATAGAATACTAGCTGTTCTTCCAGCACTCACCCTGGCCCCTTTCAACATTTCCCAAATATTGTTCTGGTCAAGTCGCTCTCCGACTGTCCTAAGCATCCCCTCTACCAGCCTCCTCTAACTCATCCTTGTTGCTCTCAGGATGAAGAGCAGAATCATTGAAGTCTCCTAAGGTATGAGATGATCAGACTCTGTACACCTCTCCACCCCAACTCATTCGCAGCTCCCCCTGTATCTGCTCTCCTTTTAAAGTTCTTAAAATGGGCCTTGGCCCTTTTAGCCTTTGTATATAGTATTCACTTCATGAGAGCCAAAACTCTTCCACTCCCCAAGTTAACCCCTTTCCTTCTGCTGAGCTCAGATTCAAGGCAGCCTTTCCTATCTATCTTCCCATAGAACAGGTTGTTCTATCATATGTATGCCTTTCCAGAACAGATATTATTCTAATAATCACAACAAATAATGTACAATTACAAACAGAAAGAAGTGCTCTGCATATAAGGTAGTACAAGTAATACAAAGACAAAGACAACGCTTGTTTTTTTTACTATTCAATAGTAGAACCTAAAGCACTTAGCTTAGCACCTCGCATATGGTGGTAGTAGTCTACAAATATCTGCTCAATAATTGAATAGTATAAACTGTACAGATTTTCTATTCAATTCAGTGGAATACCCATGAAGTTAGACATTCTATTGGGGTGAAACTTCTGCCCTGAGGAAAGTAGGGTGCATTTAGAACAGCTGGTCTTAAAACCTAAACTATGTATGGGGACATGCCATTATACAACTGGAAACCATTCCTTTTAATCTTGATGGGGTATTTTTTGGAAATATTTTTTGAATGTACTAAATTTAATCTTTCTTATAAGCAAGGTTATGAGAGAGATTCATAAACTCCATTTTAAAATTATTAAGAGTGATGAACGGAGTAACCATGGTATTGCTATATCTACACTTTTTCAGATAAGTCAAGGCTCTTATTTCCTCAGCGTCAGTCACGGCCGTCTCTAATTAACCACACGGTCTGGCGGTATTAACTTCTGCGCATCCTCTCAGCACCACATCCATCAAGCGGATGACTTAATTTGATTATAGTCTCCTTTCAGCTAACCTGCATTTCTCTTCAGCTGCAGATCTTCTGTCAAAATGTGGCTAAGGTTATTTTGCTGTAATGAAATTTTGTCATCTAAAATTAGGCCGCAGTCCAGACTTGCTGAGAAAAAGCATGTCATTGCATGCTGTTAAGATTCACTCCCACAATTTCAGGTCATTGACTTTTCTTTTTGGAGACACCATTTGTCCTAACTGCATGAAGAAATGAATAACTGTGTATGAAGCCACATACACAGTTGTGTTTAAAATCAGTCTCAGGGAAGCTGATTATTTTTTAATTTGTAGCAAACTGTGCGTGCTACTTTGATTAATGCTATGGCTAACTTTTACAAGTGATATGCCTGGGGGTAGGATTAAGAGAAACTTTCAATGTCTTATCCAAGATTTTTGTAATTTTGATTTAATTTGAATTTTAATAATGAACATGTACTGCTGTTAAATCTTGCAAAAAGCAATACAAGTGATTTTTTGAAGGACGTACTTGGTGAGTCTCTTTTTCAAAACTTAAACTTTAGCCTTTTCCTTCTACGTACAGTTCTGTGAGTCATAAGATTTCATCACTTCTACGTACCATTGAAAACAGTCCAGATAAATTATACAATTTTGATGTTAAAACTAATCAGAGCAGTGCACACATAAAGGAAAGTAGGTGAACTAAAAGTCAAAAGGTGATTGGCCATTTCTAAGGTAAAAAGAGATCTATGGTTACTTCAATTTCTTTCGTTCTTTTTTTTTTTTTTTTTCTGGTTTTTGTCTTTTTGAGACAGGGTTTCCCAATGCAGTTCAGGCTGGCCTCACATTCACAATGATCCTCCTGCCTCAGCCTCCTGAGAGCTGGGATTACAGCGTGTATCACTGAGGTTGGCAGGTTACTTTAATTTCCGAATCAACCATGGGAGGCGATGTTGGCCGGAGAAGAGTATAACAGAAAAACGAAAACAAAAAACCAGCTAAACTTTTGACAAGCTTTTAGTGTTTGAGTGTGAGCAGGTGTAAAATCCCAGTGAAGGCCAGATTCTGCACGAATGTCCACCTACCAGCTCTGCCCACAGCAGGGTGGGGGAGGCTGGAGTCAGTGCAGAAGAGCCTGTGGCCCCTGAGCGCCTCCAGCCTTCTGGGAAAGCAAAGTAGCAGCCTCTGGAGGCTAAGTGGGCAGAAGAGGAGAGCCTCCAGAGAGCTCTCAAGCCTACACTCAATGGGCTGTCTCAGCCCTCCAAAGACTGGGGCTCCAGAGATCAGTCACTGCCCAAGAAGGCAAAGCTTTCCTACAAACCCAAATGCTGCCACTCATGCACTGGGGAAGGTGTTTCTTTCACATAGTCAGAAAGCAGGTGGACAGGCTGTAGAGCACAGAGGCCTTGCGAGCTTTGAGAAGTCCTGTGAAGGACAGGTCTTGGCTCTGTCGTCAAAGCATCCGAGTCCAATGGTGAACTGGACTGGGCAGCTAAAGTTGTAACAAAACCCAGACCAGATCATCTGTAAATCACATCGACATGGTCCCCCACACTAGGAACATCATAGAAGCAGGGTGCGCCTCATTCTGGGGGCAAATACAACTTAGTCTCTGCTGCTGATTTGCAGAAAGTGTTGGGCAAGCAATGCGATAGCCTGAGTCATGCCAAGGGGTAGGAAAGTTTGACACAGAGTCAAAAAGAGAAGTGGCCATAGACTCAGCAGCACTGTTCATTACTTTCAGTTCTCTGTCTCTGTCGCTCTCATTCTTTGTCCCTTGAATTCCAACTTCCTTGGCTTGGCCAAACTTTGACCTCCATTGCATTCCCTTGAGCAGGTAAAGCAGTGTGCATTGTAAGATTCCTCTCCCTATGCTCTGGCCGTGAAAGCACTTCTAGTAATAAGCCCACAGGTTTGCTTCTCCTTTCTTTGGTATAATAGTTCTATGGCTTCTGTTGACCAAGGTTTTAAGTGTATTGACTACTATATTTTTGTCACAATTTCTAGTTGTTTATAATGGGTGAATGTATCCAGCCTTTTTAAATACACTAGAACCAGAAGCAAATGCCTACCATTGCTTCTTGCAATTAAACCTAAAGCACAAATAAGAAAGTGAGTGAGTGGGTAGATGCTCAATACAGAGAGTGACAATAACACTATTCTCCACCAGTGCTCAGCTAGAACCTGGAGCTTGCTAATGGTCACATTTTTGGAGCCATCTGCCACTTTGCCACCATGGTGATACTTACCCGTTTCCTTCCTATATTTATACTGTTTCTCCCAATAAAGCAATTTGGTCCTAAAATCGCATATATATATAACTAATTACCTGTGGGAAATGTGTTAGGTTATTAGCAGTTGGCAAAAAGTTAGCAATTTCTTATGTGGTCATTTGTCACTGGCAGATGAAATTTTACTCTGTGTATCCTGATTTTTAGCCTAAGAGCTTTCTTTTCAATGGCAATCATTTCACAGAGTTTCATGATAGGAAAACACCTTGCAGGTCAGATTTAGGTCTAGATTATTTTTTTCAGGACTAGATTTTTCTATTTAAATATATGCTTTCATCATCTATTTTTAAATGTTCTAGACTTTTCTTAAATGTAAATGATTTTTATAAAGCAATTCTTCCTCGTGTTTCTTGTTTGATCCTTCCAGGCTTTGTTTAATTATCATGAATGTTCAGCTTACTAAATTCACTCCCACAACGATTATCTCACTTTCTAAGAACTATTAGATGGGCAGGAAGCCTTTCAGTTAAATAATCGTTCATTCTTAGAAACAGGAAATAAATGTTGCCAAGATTAAACAAGCCCAAACACCACAGGTTTAAGGTCAGTTTGAAATAGTAACCACAAATTTTGATTGGATCTAAACTTGGCAGTGTAAGCTCACACAATTGTCTCTATAGAGGCGATGTATACACACAGTTGAACAAAGGGTGACAGGGAGACCAGTTTAAACTGGCAAAACATTCAGGAAAGGATTAAAAACTCAGGTTTGTTTCCGTGAACACAGATCCGGAGCCCTGCGTCTCAGGTCCTGTCCTGTCAAGTGCTTTCAGAAACGTCAAACTGATTTTCTGAAGTGAATGAATAGTACACGTACAGAAATATACCAACTCCACCTTAATCCTCTGAGGGAATGTCCAAGAGTAGGAGATGAGAAGTTAAAGCATAAAGTTTAAATGTCAAAAAAACAAAACAAAAGGAAAAAACTATTTTCTTTGTTTACATGATATACTTAGTTGGGCCAGAATTCCTTCACTGAAGGTTCCAGAAGTGTAAGAAAAGCAAAACAGATATCTTGGAACTGTTTTCAAATCACTGAAAAGACAGTGGGAACATATATTACAATGTTGTCCTTTAAAGTATTACTACAAAAGAAACCACTACAGTACTAGAGATCTAGAAACTGGTTTTGCGTTGTTAATGAAGCTTATGGAATTAAAGAATTGAATTAACCACATTTCTTGTGGGCCACACAATGCTAAAACACAGACCATAGCATTTAAAAAAAAAAAAACCTTTAATTTTGAAATATAATACAAGAAAAAAGTCTAAAATCTAAACAAGATTACTTCATATAAAACAAAATACCATGGAGCCATCTCTGGGGTCAAGAATAGAACAGTGCTGTTTGATCGCAAGGCTTTCATAATCTTTAGGGCATACTGGAATTGTTCGTGAATAATGCCACTGGAAAAGAAAAGGAATATTCTGAGTTGTATCTTTAAAAAATAGTAACCAAGATACATGGCACATTTCATCCCCCTGGAACAGTCCCAGTAAATTAAAGTCAATAATATGTCAAGATTTGTATTTAATTGAGTGAAACATTGACGATGGGCATTAATTAGTCCAACAAAAAATTCAGCTTTGTCTGGCTTTGTGATAATGTTACGCTGTTAGACTGGGATCTACCCAGAGAAAACGGAAATTTTGTCTAGAAGCAAAATTTGTGTAGGGGTGGATTAATATTAGCTTGATCTAGCATCTGTTTTCTAAAATAAACGAAGGGCTTGTTTCCCTCACAGACAATTCTGTTGTGTTTTCGCTTCTGTCTTTTCCCGGGTGCAGGGCTCCCTCTGTTCTGGAAGCGGTTCTTGGCAGTACATAGCTGATGTTCACACTCAGCTAGTCTTAGCACAGGGTTTCCAAGCCAGCTCCATTTCTAAAGGGTCCACAAATGCACCATGACACTCCCACAGACTCATCTGCAATAGATCTTGTGATGGGCATGGGTTTTTAAGGTTTTCCATACTGATTTTGTTACACTTTGATATGGATAAAATCATAGCTGGGTACAATTGTCAGGTAAGTAAACTCTCTTCCGCCCTCCCTCCCTTGCTTTATCAATAATGAATGGATGCATTCAGAGAGGAAAATACAAGAAAAACCACAGGAAACAGGGGGACAGATCTTTTGCAAATGAAGATCTAGAGATGGAAGGAGGGGAGGAAGGGTAAGGGAAGGCGAAGTAAAAAGAATTAAGATGCTTTCTGTCCACATACCAACTCCCCACGATGAATGTGATCATCATGTACTACAAACACATACTAATACAAAATTGATTTTTTAGAAAGAAAATGAATAAACTTCTCTTTGTGTGTTCTTGTTCACAGATTCTGGGCTGTCCCTGCATTGGAACTATTTCTTCTCCCAGCAAAAAGCATATTATTAGAATCTCCTCGACTAGGACGACATTGAATTGCAAACCAGATTCTTGTGCCCTGACTTGGTTACCGGATCAACAGCTTCCCTTCAGAGGGTTTTCCTCCTCACCTCGCCTGGCCCTCGGGCTCACTCGCCTGGGCTCTGACGTTGCCAGGTCAGTCATCCGGCTCGAGCATGAGTCCTGGAGCAAGCCTTGTCAAGGCACAGCCTCCCTCTGGCACTTGTGGATTCTGGGCTAACTCAGTCACAGGCTCACCTCCCCCATCTTTTGCCTGGGTTCAGCTCCCTGTGTTGAGAGCTTGAGAACCCAGCCCTTCTTCCACGCATGCGACTTTGCCTCCTCGCTTCTCTCGCTTGCCTCACGACACATTTTGCTCTGGGTACCAAGCGGAGGTAATCCCTGGTCATTGTTAAATGTATTATCCACATTGCTACCACCTGTTTGCTTATTTCTTTCCCCAGCTGCCCTGGGGAAAGGGCTAAAGGTAGATGTGCTGTACTCCTGCATCCTCAGCAACCAGCTTTGTGCTTGGAATTGAGTGTGGACACAAAGCACTTTCACTCATGAAACCTTTGAACCTGGATCAGGGTGACTGAGGCGACACGCTGTCCAATCCTGAACCCGTCACGATGTGACAGTGTAACCCTAGGCAAGTGATGTGGTCTGCTAGGTTCTCGGCACCCTCATCTGCAAAGCAAGGATGAGTGAGGTGATCGCTAAGATGACTTTCAGCTCCAAAATTCTTAATTCTGCTCCTGATTCAGACTTTGAAGATGAAATCTTTCCAAACAATAGCACTCAGGTTTCACACTAAATGCCAGGTCCTAATTGTTCACGTCGCTGTTGACACTGTCTTTCAGACAAAGACTATTTTTTAAAGGATTGGCACATACCTTTCTCATATTTGCTAAAAGGCTTACCAGCTCTCTCTCCAGCTACAGGACCAACCTAAGAGAGGAATCGCCACCTAGTGGACAAATTCCTAGCCGGTGGCCTCCCGCGAGAGTAAGGGGATGCTTTGTTCTCTGGCTGGTGGGTCCCACCCTTGGTTTCTCCTTCGCATGTCTGGTGCTCACATGTCAACCTCGCGGTTGCTTTTGCTGTCTCCGCATCCCAGAAGTACTCCTTTCGGTGAGAGAAGTGTGTTTCCTTGGATCTCATCTAGTGTTTACCAATTTGTTTCACATTTACAACGTGGTAGGCATTTTAAGGGAAAAGATAAGGTCCAGAGAAGCCGCTCTGGGTCTCTTTTGGCTTTCTATCAATTTGGTTGGAAAACAATCCTTGAGCCTTCAGAGCCGCCTTGGCCAGACAAGCAGAAAAGGGAGAGTAGAGTTCATGTCTCCAGTGCAGAGCAAACCACGGAGCCCAACCTTTCAATCAGCGCCTCACCGAAGGCTCAGTATTTTTCAATTTTCCTTGATTTAAAAGGAAACCTTTCAGGGGCTAATCTAGGGCTTAGGATTAGTAGGGTTATTTCAACCTGAAGTGGGATCTTTGCCTAGATAATGTTTTCCCTGAGTTAAGGAAATCTAAATGACCTCTACTGAAAATGAACAAAAGGCATGATTGCACTAGGCTTCCTTTCTCCACCTCTGAGAAAAATATCCACGTGAGACGCCCGTTGAGGTTCAAAGAAGCTTAGGAAAAGGTAGTCTTGGCTAATTTACGAAACATTAAGAGGATTGCTATCAACCTCCCACCCAGCTTCTGATGCCTCTAGGGTACTTTATTTAATTCTCACAGCAGACACATGCTCATTTAACAGAGCTAATGATTCCCTCCAGCAGTCCCAGGTTGGCTAGCTATTCATATTATAATTGCATTGCGAAGGCTCTATATTTCTCTTCACAAACATATTTTCCGTTTTTCATTAATTTTTCTTTGCCACTAAATGCCTTCAGCCCGCTCAGAACATTTTGATATTTTAATTTCTGTTTCCTACCACCGCCAACCCAGAGCAAAGATTTCACTTCTCCGAAGATTTTCAGTTAATTTCTCTGATATTTCTTGCTATGTCTCAAAAAAATTCTGAGCACCTAAAAATTCTCTGAACCTAAAAATAATTCTTTTATTGATCCTGATAGCTATTCAAATTAAAGTTGTCTCCCTCCCTCCCTCTCCCCCTTCTTCCTTCCTTAAAATTCATTCAGAGCAGTTTGAGCTGATGTACTAAGATCATCTACAGACATATTTCCCATCTGCAAATCCTCAGTGCTAACTACAGCGCCCAAAGGATTCTGTCCAGATTGCTAAGTAATATGCTTGTCCCTCTGCTCTTGAACAGGCTTTGTAGATTTGTTCTTCTTACTTGCACCTTCCAGAGAGCCCGTAGGTCCATGCAAATACCCAGATAGGAAGCACTGTGGGAAAAGGAGTAGTTGTAACCCTAGAGCAGTGACAGTGAACCACTCACAGCTTTCAAGTATAACAAAGTTGCCTGTGGCACTCATGCCAGAGATTCACCACCACTGCCCTAGAGTTTGCCATGCTTGTCCCATCTACTGCCACCAAAGAAAAGTCCAGTACAAAAGCTGTCTTTGTTCCTGCCATGTATTTCATACCCTGGGCAATATCCTTACAGAGAACGTGGCCAAAGAGCACTTTCAAAAGCAATGTACCAATAAATCAGTATGCAGTACATATCTGTATCTATTGGGCTATCTTAGGTATTGAGTAGAAAATACAAATGTAAGGCACGGCTTTTGAATTCTGAGGACTTACACTATAATTAGAATGCAAGGCTAATGTGAAACTTCCATAGGAAACAGATTATGTATCATAAATCGTGTTTATTTTTCCTATAGAATAAATGGAAGAATTGAGGCTTATTGATTGATCAAGGATATGATGCTAAACCTTTTGTAGAATTAACCATAAGTACTACATTGGATTAAGTTGGTATGTTTTTAACATATACACAAGAACTCAAACAGAGAAACATGATGTAGTTGATAGGATGGAAGCTTGACTAAAACAAAGGGTAAAGGCCTAGGGATACAGCTCAGCAGCACAGCACCTGCCTGGCAAGCACAAGCTCCTGAGTTTAATTCCTGGTACCAAAAAATTCAAAATATTAAAAAAAAATTTGAAAAGGGTGAATATGACTTTGTTTGGGAAAATAATAGGATCATTGCAGATAACTGAGTTAAAGATCTTAAGATGCGATCATGCTAGTTATCAAGGTAGGCCCTAAATCCTAGAGAGGTGCACTCACTGGACACAAAAGGGAAGACACAGACCCAGGAGAAACCATGTGAGTGGAACCAAATGCTGAAATTACACAGCCATAAACCAGTGAGGCTGAAGAGGTGAGGAACACTTCTCCCCCACAGCTTTGAATGGACAGCAGCTCTGCCAACACTTTGATTCCATAACTTTAGTGATAATAAATTTCCCTTGATTTAGGCCATCAAGTTTGCAGTAATTCATAATGGTAACTGTAAAATACTAATACGCAGGGAAGTTCCTACTGCTATAACAAAATACCACAGACTGGTAATTTATAAATGACAGAGATTTATTTCTCATGGTTCTGAAGGCTAGAATGTCCAAGATCAAAGTGCCTGCCATAGGTTGCTGTCTGGTCAGGGCCTGGTCTCTGCTTCCAAGGTGGCGCCTTGTGGCTGCATCTTCCAGAGAAGAGGAATGCTGTATCCTCACATGGCCAATGGGATGGAAAAGCAAAAAGGGGCTGCCTACCTCCCTCCAGCCCTTTGATGAATACCAATCCCATTCACAAAGCCAGAGACCAAACTGCCCAGTCATCTCCCAGGTGTTCCACTTCTTAGTGCCATCAATGTGGGGATTAAGCTCTGAATTTTGGAAGAACATATACATTCACACCATAGCACATGATAACCCAGAGGAAGATCTTTTGGGTGGATCTCATTTTACTCTCTATAATTCCCACCTTATATCTACCGCAATGAACCAGGAATGAAATGTAGGCTTAAGAAAATTTAAAAGAGCTTCTCCGTGAGTAGGATCCTTGGAGAGATGCCTGGGAGTGATGACAAGATTTAGTGAAACTTATCCTTGTGTATTTGCTTTGCACCCACCTTTTCCCTCCAAAATTCTGAGTAACAAAGAAACACATTAAGGAAAAAGCTTTGGATTGTCTATTACCTTCAACCCAGTCTGCCTAGGTTCTGTATGCAAATCTAGTTTTAAAATTGTATTTTCTTGTATGTAGTTCAATTCAGAAAACATCACAACCATTTAACATATTCAAATTCATTTTGGTGAGCACTTTGATCTTCCATGGCATTTACTTCACCATTTTGGAATCTTTAAAGCTGTGCTAAATTTGATGACCAAAGCCAAAATCATACGTTGCTGAAATTTGATCCAGGATATGCAAAATTAAAAGCATTTGTGTCTTACTCATAAGACCCACTTTATCAAATATCCATTGTTTGCAGTCAGTATTTTCCCTTTAGTGGTCATCTTGGGGGAAGATTTTAGCTAAACATCTGAAATAATGAGATTGATTCCTACCTAATGCCAGTTATAGAGGAGGCACTCAATAAATATTTGTTCAGTAGATGAATTTATTCACTGAAGAGTTTGAGATTGACTTTAGGTTACCCTCGAGTTAGGATATGCACAAATAAACCCATTAAAAGTGAAGGTATCTGCAGAAGTCCCAGATAGGCATGGAATAAAGCCCATCTTACTTCTTTATGCAGAAGAAACAGCTGCGAACTCCTTATAAAGCCAAAGAGTGAGGCTAACCTGGAATCAAGAGGAAGGGTGCAGACTGGGAATTGCTGGAGTGAGCTGGTTGCCGTTGATTGTTACAATGCAGAGATCTGAACTTTGTGTTACCACCCAGCTCATATTTTTATGTAAAGCCAGAAACATAGATGAGAACACTTGCTGTTTTAAGAGGTAGCAAGGAATTCACTAAAATGAGAAGGAAAGGAAATAAGTAAGCACTCTGACGTCCAAACAGAACACATCTGTAGGCTAGAGCCCAAAGTCTGGGTCTCTGCTTCTTAGCTTCTTCTGTTTCCTCCCCATTCCTTGGCCTTGGATTTTCTCTCCAGCCCCTCTGTTGGCTGCCAGTCCTTTCAGCTTCTTGAACCACTAGTTGTGCGGAAAGCAGCATCTGAGACAGAAATGGTGCTGGACGGAAGATCTGGAGAGCTGATCAGGCTCTGAACAGGTGAACGGTTCATTGGGGGTGGGACAGGCTGGGAGGCCGGGCCACCGCCTTGTGCAGCAGCCCCATCTCTGCGTCTCAAGCAGGACTCATCGTCAGCAAAATAACTCAAGATTTTTCAGAAGGCATCTAGGTTTCTCAAAACAAATGAAGTTGATCTGAGGTAAAATTCTGCCGCTTTTTTTGTGTATATATTTTTATCCATTAGCACGGATATTAGTTGAACTTAACTTCCTAAACCCTAGCACTTACTGGGAGATGTCTTAGTCACTTTGCTCACTGGAAGGACACAGTACCCAACCCCCACAATCTAAAGCAGAAAAGATTGATTTTGGTTCAAGTTTCAGTCCATAGTTGGCTGGATCCCTGCAGGATGGCATGGCACGGGCACATCAGGGACATGGCGGGCATGGGGGAGTTGCTCACAGCCTGGTGAACCGGAAGCAGAGCAGGAAGGAAGAGCCGGGGAAGAAGAAAAACGCTTCCAGGCCACGCATGCCCCTGTGCCTCACCTCTTCCAGCCAGACCCGCCTCCTCCAGCCCAGTTAGCTGTAAACTCATAGTATCCACCTGTGATACCCAGTCACCTGTCACAGCACTTCCTGTGGCATAGGAGGCTTTCCGGGGATGTCGAGATGCAACCCATAATAGATGGACAACAGAATACTTTACCTTTTCTTCAGTAGCACAAGCTACTTCCAAGCATAAGCAGTATTCTCTTTACATTCCTTTGAGATTCCTTTTACTTGAAAGTCAAATGCAGAAATGCAGTCATTTTTGTCTGGTTCTTTCCTACAGCTGTAACCTCTGTGCTCTCACTATGCTCACACTGTGACATACATTTCTAGTACGTGACCAGCAGGTGCCCAGTTCCATGTAACAAATGCTGGTACAGGTTGAGTAACCCTTATCTGAAAGGCTTGAGCCATGACTGTTTCAAATTTGGGATTTTTGTGGATTGTGGAATATTCAGCTTTGCACAAGGAAACATCTGGAGATGGGCTACACAGGCAGAAGGTAATCCCATGCAATAATTCTACTGCCTCTGTGTTTTGGCTGTAACCTGTCATCGCATGGGAGCAAGTATGGAATTTTCTATCATGGAGTAATGTTGGCCCTCAAAGCATTTCATGCTTTGAAGCATTAAAGATCTCAGAGTTTGACGCTAACCTGTGATAACAATGGTAACGGACAATACATAAATACATGAAAAAACCCAGAACAACAAACCAAACCCAAATAGCAATAACAAGAAATAAAGCTCCTACCAGTTGATTCTGAAGAGGAAGGAGAAGAGTAGTAATTAAGGAAATGCACATTAAAAGGATAATAAGCAGTATTACTCACTTGATCAGTGTAAACTAAAAATCCTATTCCACCTCATGTTTGTGAGGACACAGGCAAATGTTTGCACGAATCAGTAAACATCTGCAGGAAAGTGTGAAAAAGGTGCACCTTTGCTACCTTGCTGCCAGGATGCCTATCACAGCTTTGTTTTGGTGAAGAGTCAGTTGTGTACATCTGCTTTCAAATACCCATTCAGTGACATCACATTGGGATCTCAAAATTCTTCATGTTGGAAATATGTAAACTACAGAAATTGGCAAGTGCTGGAAATTAGTGATTCCCCACCTCCAACGGGGAGCCAATTGCTAATCAGCAGCACGGTGCTAGTTCTGTCTGCCTTGTTCATACACTCCTGAAGCAAGCTCCTCTTGCTGTTATCCATCACATGCTTATCTCTAATGGCAATTAACTTTGCCTTCACTAATTACAACTTTAGGAAAGAAAAAATTTGGCCACTATGATTAATTTCAGCTTGATAAAATGATCTTAAGAAAGGTTTGATAGAATGCCATCTACTGCCTCTGAGGATATATTTTCTCTATCTTGACTCCAATCATCCATCCACCCACCCATCCATCCACTCTTCCACCCACCCATCCATCCATCCACCCATCCATCCATCCATCCATCCATCCATCCATCCATCCACCCATCCATCCATATTTCCACCTATCCATCCACCCACCCACCTACCCATTCAACTTTGGGTTGTAGGTGGGGACCACTAATTTCTAGCATTTACCAATTTCTATGGTTTCCCCAGCCTGAATGAGAGAGTTAAGGGGTGCTACCCACCTTGTATTATTCTTACCTGGAATACTTAAAGGAGCTAGTAAAGGTCTTTAATTCATTTGGCTTTAGTCCATGCTTTGCAAATTGATTTTACTATAGATTCAAGTTATTTCTGTGGTATGAGATATTTTGGTGTTAAAATTGATTTTTAAATAATGTATAATAATAAATCATTAATGTTGTAGCGTTTAAAAAAGGCTTCACCATTGGAGCTTTCTTTTCCCCTTCACACTTCACTTCTGACTATTCCTTTTGTTTCTCCTCACTTCAGGGTCTTTGGCATGGGAGAGTTAATGTTTGAAGCTCTTGGAAACTGGCACTTTTTTTTTACAGGTCTTTTACAGACAGTGAGAGCATTTGACTTGCCTGGTTTTATCCCCAACCTGAACTTGCGTTACAAGGATTTGTTACTAACAGACACCTTGTAGCGAAGGCTTCCTCTTTACCTCCAGACACCACCCCCTGAGCTTCCAGGAGCTCTTTGTCCTCCCCTGAATGTCTGGTCCCACGTATACACACACAGACACTACCGGGGGTGTGTACACGTTGCTGTTTCACCAGAGGCTAGAATGATGTCCTCATCAGGTTTAGCTTTCACTTAAAGCATGTAAAGATGGGAAGATAACCAAGGAGGAGTGGATATTACAGTATTTGCCAATTAGAACACTCAGAGCCATGAGGCCCTTGAGCTCTCCTCTGATTCCCTACAAATGACAGCCCCTGGCTCCGACAGGAGGAGTTGGGATGACCTCTGTTTTGGGTTGTTAGAGGGCAGCAGTAGCTTTCACTGATTCCCCAAAGCCAAGAAATACTTTTAGCAGGTGAAATGTCCTGTTGATATCAGGAAAGATGGATGGCATTACCTGCTATCTGTTAATCAGGCGCTAGAGCGCCCAGGGCCAGCAGGTTCTTTACACCTCCCACTTCCTGGGACACTGCCTTGATGCACTGCTTCAGAAGCAGTGTAGGAAAATGTGAAAATGCCTCCTGAGTATCCCTGGAAGTCCAGCTGATGCAGAAAGGGCCTTCTGATACACTGGGCCAGCTGAATCGACGACTGTCACCTACAGGTTCTTACAATGTATGGGGCTGAACATTATTCACTCTGATGCTAATGCAAATCATGGGAAGAGTGACCCAGCCCTGTGCTTCTGTCTTCCTAGAATTCACTGGTGAGAGCTACATTTGTGTATTTTAATCCACTATAGAAGAGATCTAACATCTACACATGACGCAATATAAATAACAGACTATCCAGTGTCCATTGAAAAGTAATATACTAGAAAGCATGGCGCACGACTGCCCTTTCAGTTAATGGCGGCATTGTCACTGGTTTGCCCAGTAAGCTGAGCTTCTCATTGAGTGCACCTGAGGACACAAAGCACGCACTTCCGACTGAGGTGGAGTAAAACACTACCATCTCTTCTCTTGCCAGAAGCAACTAAAAAGTAGAATGGCTGGAAGAGAATGACTCAGAAGACAATTTAACAGATTTTTTAAAAAGTTAAACATATGCCCACCATAAGAGTCAGTTATTCCAATCTTATTTACTCAAGAGAATGAAAATGTATGTCTGTAGATCGACTTGGATATGAACGTTCATAGCGTCTTTATTTACAATGACCAAAAACTGGATACAACACCATTGTTAAGTATATGAATGGAAAATAACCCAGCAATGCATCCCATACAGTGGAAAACTACTTAGCAATTAAAAAGGAATGAGTCAGTGACACAATATGAATATAGTCCTTCTCACTTTTAAGAAGCCAGGGGCTGTGGATATAGCTCAGTGGCCTGGCAAGTGAGATGGTGAGTTTGATTCCTGGTACCAAAACAACAAAAACAATAAAGAAAGAAGAAAGAAAGAAAAAGAAAGAAAGAAAGACAGGGAGGAAGGAAGGAAGGAAGGACTGAAGGAAGGAATGAAGGGAGGAACGAAGGAAGGAAGGAAGGAAGGAAACCAGATAAAGTGTGTACTGATGTCATTTTTACAGAAGTCTAGGAAACACACCCTACCCTGTAGCAGTTGCCTGAAGGTTTGGCAAGGGTGATGGGAAACAGGGGCGAGGGGGCCTGGTGCACCCTCTGGAGGTGACAGAGATGCTCATCTTTACTCTGTGAGTGTACACATACATTTAATAGGTGATGTCTATCACACGCCACTTGAAAATATTTTCTAAATTGTGGTACCATGTGCATATCATAAAATTTACCATTTTAACCATTTTGAAGTGTGTCATTCCGTGCATTCACACTGCTGTTTGCCCTCTCTGGGGCTCTCTGCTAGGTTCATTCCAATTAGTGGTTATAGAACTCTAATAACGAAGTACATATTAATTAGTCATAAAGCTGGCTGTTTTTCTAAAATGAAGCCACATGGAGATTTTCTTTTCTCACCTTTAAAAAATAAAGATAGATTCTCAGGCTCCCGCCTGATCCTTGATTGTTCCTGAGAGCTGCTCCCATGTGCTTCGCTGCCCTTGGGCCAGGGCTATCCAGAGGACGCCTGCAGTCTCCACTGGGCCCCAGCTGCAGACCGGGTGTGAGGAGCGCCACTGCATGGTCAGTGGGGCGGAGGACGACTCTCGGAGGAGAAGACAAACAGCCACTCTTCTGAGTATATTCTGCCCCTCGAATGATGGAGCCACAATCTGAACCCAAGAACTTGATGCTGTTTGACAAGAAAATAGGTGCACTAATGATTTTAGCTTCACTGCCTGAGCAGGGACGAAATAAAAAATATCTCTGACATAGAAACCAGATGAATTCTTTCTCATGCATTTGTTCACATTTCCTGCTCCAGAAACTTGGTATGCAAGTTCAAAAACAAACAAACACACAAACAAACAAACATAATCCTCAGACCATAGCCCTGGCTCTTAAAGCCTCAGGTAATACATAAATTATTGCCTACTGGGGTAAATGTTATAAGGGACGGAAATACAGATTACAGGAGCTAATTGTCCCTGGGCCAGCAGCTGGGGAGGTAGAAGTAAGTGTGTGTGTGTGTGTGTGTGTGTGTGTGTGTGTGTGTGTGTGTGTGAGCTTGGAGGAGTTGAACAACCTTCATCCAGGTCTGGAGATGTTGGTCAGTTTCTCCCTAGGCAGCTGCAATTGGGAGGCAGAGAAGAAGCGTCTGACTACAGAGACAATACCCGAAGGCCAGCCAGATGTCCTGAAGCAGGCAGAAATCACAGGCGATGAATGCTTCAGTTAGCTCACTGTAGGAAGAATGGTCAACATTTGGGGTGAACATTTCTACAAAGTAAAAGCATTCTGCAGCAGTTCATTAAGCTGTTATAATTTCCAGAAAGATTTAAACATAAAACTCATTATGATTTATGGACACAAAATTTTAAAAAAAGAAATGAATTTGGCTAGGCTGGCTGCCGCACACACTTTGGGCTGAAATCTGTGACCTAGGATTTGAAGAGTTTGGTATCTTGGTGTCAGGAAAATGAAAATAGCGTGGACCTGGACAGAACTCTCCTTCCATGGAGAGTTACCCTTCCACGGTGAGAAGAGCACAGCAAAACAACTTTACTATATGAATGACCACTTAGGAAACATGCTTTACAAACCCAACATTCATCTAAGATGTTTTAAAGAATGACTTTTTGTAACCTTGCTCTCCTTAAGAGTATGGAACATTTCAAAACCCAAAGCACTGAATGGTCCTTCCCCCTAAATTGTCCTATTTTTCAGAAATTGCGGTCCTAACTTTTGTTAGGACATTTTAAGTGTGTCATTTTTAGCACCGTATAAATAGAGGTTTCTTAGTTATCTTCTTAAGCAATCCCTGGCTTTACTTTTATGGATTATTGACCCAATTTATAAACATTGCATTAACTTTGGAGAAACTCCCAAAGACAGCTTTTGTTTTGTTTTGTTTCTAAAGGCCAGAGTTTCCTGAAGGTTTTGAAGCTGCATTCATGTTTATTATGGCTACCTCGGGGACTGATAGGGGCCTGAGAACATGGGTATAGTTGTGACACAACGTCCTACTGAGCTAATTCTAAGAACATTCCTATCTGCGAACACCAAGGCTAAGACTATCGCTGTGTGTTATTTTAAGCAGGAGGAAGGGGAGGAGGGTACAAAGGAGCATTTAATTGAGCCAGAGCAATGGAACAAAACACTAATTGATTTTTTTCCATGTTCTTATGTAAAACCAAGTGATGCCAAAGCCAAATTATCAAAATAAAAATAAAATGTCGCAGACCAGTGTTTATCAGAATGTCCAGGATGGGAAGGATTTACAGAGCACTTGACTAAGTCTGAGGGCACTTCAATGTGATAAGTAGTTTGGACACACACTTCCTTTCCTGATCCTTTTTTTTTCTCTTTTCCAAGAGGAAAGGGATCAGTGAAGTCTGTGTTCTGTTCAGCTTCAGTTAAGGAAGGGGGAAAAAATTAGCTGGTATCCTACAGAACTAGTAACAAATTCCTGGGAAAAGTATAGTGTACTCACACCTTAGAAATTCAGCTGCCACCTTTGCCTAAAGAAAGATGTACTGTGAGACAGAGCGTCTCAGGTCTGAGAAGCACAAGGTGTATCACTATAAATCCATACTACTGTGCTTTCCTGAGTTATAGGAATATCCATCCCTGCCCCCCCACCCCACCTCCTTCTGCTCTGAAATCAGAGAACATCTATCTGCCCATCTGCAGACAAATGCAATACATCGTGGCAACGGAGTCAGTTTTATCTCTGCTACTTAGGGACATTTCCTTCCACTCTACACTTCAGTTTCCTGTAAAACTGGAATGATAGCACCTGCTTTTCAAGAGTGTCATTAAGATTATGAATTCTCTATATTAGGTATTCAACAAGTAGTTGCTATTAATATTATTTTTATTAGTATCAATCATTTGGAGAAGAGATAAGAGTTAGAGTTCAGTTGAGATTGTTGGATGAAAATAACCCTAGAAACAAAATATTTTGGTTTTTATAACAAGGAGATAATCTGATGATTTGATGGAATCAAAATAGAAGCTAGAGATCAAAGCTGGCCTTGTGCATTTACTTGAAGCAATTGGAACATCCTTTTAAAAAGGATGGGTACCCTACTCCATTTAAAAATGTACTACAGGCTGAAAACTTTTTGAATGTAACCTCACCTGTCATCTCCAGCTAACACTGTTACAAAATCCCCATTTCAGGACGGGTAGCAGCATGGTCAGAGCTCTCTGTGGCAGTAGAGCAAGGCAGCAGCCCATGATACAGATGTACAGTCCTATGTTGTCTGTAACAATACAAACGCTACTTATCAGGGGGAGAATTGAATTGTAAGGCTGTTCCACTTTGCAGAAAATATGCTTGCACAATGGGGAAAATAGCTTTTCAATGGAGGAGAAATTTTTTGTGAACTAATCTGTGAACCCAGGGTGTTATTAGAAAAGTGTCTCAGATCTAAAGAAGTCCATCTTCACAGTTGATATGAAGCACATGTGTTTTGGAGCAACTGGCAGATAAATTCCAGACATTGTTACATTTCCTTTAAGTATGACAATTGGACATGGTTTTTCTTAGACCTGTGGGGTGGGTATGATATACTTCACCGATAACAACTGTAGATTCTACTTGTTTTCTTAAACTGCAAATAATTTCGGTCTTCACTTAACTACATCTTCCAGTCAAGGTGCAACTGTAAGTGCAGGAAATAAAAATGAACTATTTGAACAATGAATCTCCAAATATCAAATATTTTGAATAAACTGACTTTGAATCCTATATTTAATCTTTCTTTCCTAGAATGTCCACAGTCAAAATGGGCTTACAAAAGGGAGGTAGAATGTCTCTCTTTCTATACTCAAACCACACATTTGGTTCACAAATCCAGTAATTGTGAGAACAGAGGGGCTTGGGGAGGGGATCATGCTGCTGGCCTGTGCCAGTGACATAGGGGTGCCTGGTTGATATCTGATGCCTGCGAATGAGGGACACCGCACACAGACGTCCTGACTCCTCTGTGCTGTCCGCCCTGGCTCTTAGGTGTAAGGCAAGATCCTGCTTCTCTGAGAATGTTGCACAACATTCAACCTAAACATTGTCTTCATCTAGTTTCATGTCTATAGTTCTTAGTTTCATTCCTAATTAAATACTGAGTCTAGTTCTTAAGATTTGTTTATCTTTCCCTAAGAAGTTTGAAATAGTACTGTATTTCATTTCATAATGAAAGCAATGTATTTACTCTTAGCTTCTAACTACTTTGTAGGGTCTTGTGATATCCTAAGGGTGCAGCATGATTTCCTCAGACTTCCTGTGTTCTTCTGAGAAATGGGATTGTGTTCTGGGATAGTGTACACACAAATGTCACGCACAGTGCAAAGTGAAAATTGCCTGAAATTTATACGTAGTGGCTCAACTCCATCAGGTAGAATACAGACCTAACATTTGTAACCAAGGTTCAAAATTAGAATGTCTTACATGCTATAAATTAATTGTTGTGTTATAGAACAATATGAATGGCTGCTCATGAGCAGATTCTGACTGCACCTGTGGTTCATAGCATCAGGGTTGCAGGCTCTTTCTCTTTGGCTTCTCTGCTGTCATTCTGGGGTCATCTGTCCTCATATGCCATTTCTCTCCTGCCACACAGCCCAGAATGTAGTCTTGTGGTCCTGCTCCATGGTAAGAACATCTGGGAAATGTTGTTTTTCTGGTAGGTAGGACCTCAGTTTGACATAAAAGAAGGGTGACCTTTGGAGGAGATGACATTCTCTTTCACATACAGAGATACTCAACTTGTGATCAGATTAGGTTCCCTTCAACTCATTGTAAGTTGAAAATGCTTTAAGTCAAAAGTGCATTTAGTACTCCAAATCTAGCAGGGCTTAGCAACATAGGATGTGGGACTGTAGGAGCTGTTTGTCTTCGGGACACGTAGATACTGTGAGCTGTGTCTCACCCCCACTGTGGAACATCCTGAAGATATTATTGTGTGTCTGTATCATTCTGCAGACCACAGCTGGGAAAAGATCAAAATTCAAAACACATTTAAAAATTGTTTTCTTATTTTAATTGATATAAAATTGAAATTGCCATAAAGGTGTACCTATTTATAGGATACCATATGATGTTTCCCTATAAGATTCAAAACATGAAGTACAATTTCTACCAAATGTGTATCACCTTCCCCGCATCACACAGTTGAAAAGTCTTTAGTTGGGCCATTGTAGTGGGAGACCATTTGTACTTTGCAGATAGTGCGAAGATGGGATTTTTGGTAAAATAGTAGAATTCTATACTAATAGAAGGTAACCATGGAATCCAAGAGTAAAAAAAATAATGTAAATTCTTGAAATCTTAATAATTATTGTTATGCTGCTGAAATTGACCCTGAACTTTTATTGTGGTGAAGTGAACACAGTAAAAAGTACAGCCAGGTCTGAGATGTGGAAGAGGAACTCTCACCCCATTGGTAAGCGACCAAGGGACAAGGAGAATCTTGATCTCCCGAGTGTTACAGACGATGGGGAGCCTGATCTTTCTTTTGATTATTAGTAGAGAAATTGATAAAAGAAATTTTCTCTATGAACTGCTGAACTTTTACTTTATTTACCTTTAAATTTAATTTTCTTAGCCTACCATTATAAGTTAATTTATATCGTTATTTTGAATTTATAAATTAAGTTAATTAATTTACTTAAATTAATTAATTTACTTTACTTTGAAATTTAATTTTCATCAATGATCATGTTAGTGAGAAAACGCAACAATTAGAATGCTCCATTTGGCTACCTTTATTAACCCT